GGGCACAAACTGAAGCAGAGGAAGCTCCAGCTGAAGATGAGGAAGAACTTCTTCCCTCTGAGGGTGACGGAGCCCTGGCCCAGGCTGCCCAGGGAGGCTGTGGAGTCTCCTTCTCTGGAGATATTCCAGCCCCGCCTGGACGCGGTGCTGTGCAGCCTGCTCTGGGTGACCCTGTTTGGGCAGGGGGTTGGGCTGGGTGACCCACAGAGGTCCCTGCCAACCCCAAACATTCTGTGATTCTGTTTCTTTTTCTCTGACTTCAACTGCAGAATTTTGAACCGCTGCCCAAACCCCCTCTTTCAGTCAGCTCTAAGAGGTAAAAGCAGGAAGCCCCTCGCAGCCCCCCAGGTGCTTTTCTAGGCCGTCAAACATAAAATACAAGCTGGCACCGAAAAAAAGCCGCTCTGAGGACGGCACCCCTGCGCAGCGTCATGGCAAGGTTAACTCCAACAAATGCACGCTCCCGCTTCCAGAAGTTTAAACTCTCCTCTGAGTCCCCTGCAAAGCAGAGCCTCACAGAGGTCGTGGTGGAGGGAAGCGCTTCGATACGGACGGAAGCCATTGCTAACCAGCAGATGCTCAGCTTTAAATGAGCTGCTGAGGGCTTTGCTGAGTCAGGACCGAAATACAAGGCTATGATATATTTTAATATGGGATATTGAAAATGCTTCTGGCCCAAGCACTTGTACAGGGAGGTATAGTGCTGGCGTCTATATGTTCTGAAGTTTGGGAGAAGATTTTTTCCCCTTCAACACCACACAAAATGTAGAAGTCTGAAAAAAATATTACTCATCTTTTAGCAATAGCTGCCGGTGAGGACTTCAAAGGAGTTAATACAAGCAACTAAATAAAAATTTTAACTCGCTCAGCTTATTCTGCCGATCACGGGAACGGTGGAACCTGCCAGCCTGCCTTGTCCGTGCCAAGAGCATTAGGGGAACACTTCACCGAGCAGCGTTTCACCGCCAGACACCAACAGAAGAGCTCTTCCCAGCTCACAGAAAAGAGTAGGAGCTGTGCTTTTACTGCAGAAGGAAAGAAAAGACATCACCACGGCACTGTCCTCTTCCTGCCTGCGCTCCCAGCTCGCACATCTCACACGTGGGACTTGCTGAGCGTTGTTTCTGCAACACGAAGCGGCTCTCCTTGATAAAGCGTGTCCTGCTCCTCGCACGAACGGCCCTCAGGGTGACGCCTCGAACAGCTTCCACCCCTCCTCCTTCTCAGGAAAGCAGCACGAAGGGGACAGGCAGCAGCAGACTGTCCGACAGACAGACAGCAGGACACATCTTCCCCGGAGATGCCCCTCCGCAGGCGTCGCCTCTCCTTTTCCAGCGGGAAAGCCCGAGTTGGTGGGAGCAATACAGGCAGGCTGACAAAAAGCCGGAGTGTGACTTGGAAGCCCAGCCGGGAGCCAGGAAAACTGGCAAGCACTTCTCCGTGGAGATGGGCTGGCAGGGGGAGGAGAAGGTGGAGCTCCCAGGGAGCTGACGTGGATCGGGCCCGGCCGCAGAGCGAGGGGCAGCCAAAGCCGAGAATCGCAGCGCGGAGGACTGGGGCATTTTGTATTGCCAGAGACTTCCTAAACGCAATTTTGGAATAAAATGTAACTTTTGGAACAAATGCAACCTTGTCCTGACAAGGAACACGCACTGCTCAGGCTCTTAAAAATTAAGACTGGGGTGATTTATTAATCTTGTTAAGAACTCTGATACAAAGCACAGTAAAAGGCCACAGACCAGTAAATAAAATGTGGCTTCCGGCCACTTTATAAATGCTGCTACAGTACTACCAGTAAAACAGACTCACTCTCGCACCAGTTCGAACGAGAAGTTCAACTGGCAAATAACAAGTTCCATTCACTTATCAGTTTAAAAAGTTTAATAAAGCTTGAAGTGTTTGCTGGTTTAAATGCTACCAATTTCCAAAATGGATTCACGATGAAGTTAAGTGAGATCTAAAGAAAGTTATTGGGTTTGGAAGGCAAGACTGTTCCCAAGCCAGAGGAAAGGCTTCTGACCGCCTCAGATTGCAAGAGTAGCAGACTGTATTATAGGCCTCAAGTCACTTAAATTTATACAGGTTATTAGCATTATCTGTAAAATATACAATATAAACAATTGTACATACAGGGCGTATAGCTTCGTTCTCCAGAACAGCAGACGACTCGTTAGCTTAAGACCCTCTTCGCCTACCGAAACAAAAAGGCACATCCGAACACGGCGCGTGAAGTGCTGGGGACCCCCTGCCACCACCGGGGACAGGCAGTCCTCCTCCAGCCTTCTTCCGAAGAACCGGGACCAACGGAGCATTTGGGTGTTTAGATTTCAACCTGTTGTTTTGGGTTTTTTTTTTGTCTTCAGCAGCAAATCGACGGCAATTAAGACGCGGCATTAAAACGGTCGAGATCAGCAGCTGTCACTCACGAACCTCCGAGCTTACGCGAAGCTGAAGGCGAGCGGCCAGAGGTTTGAACTCGGTGACGCTGCGTCTCCTCGCGTTGTGTCATCATCCCACTGTTCTTTTTTTCATTAAATTAAAAAAAAAAAAAAAGGCCACTAGTGCTCAAATTCGAAAAAACTCCACAGACGCACCTTTTTTTTGGCTCAGTGCAATTGGCTGACGTCAGTTTAAAATCATTTAGTGTAGCTTACAGTGCAAAAGATGTGTTTTATTTTTGTCTACTGGCGTGACTGTCGGCACTGAGGAGGTGAAAGCCGGCAGCGCTGCTGACCACCTGAGGGTAACGCTGTCGAACGGACGCGGGCTGGAGCGTGGGCAGTCTTGGTTTCCCAATTTAAACTTGGTTTGTGGTTTTTTTTTTTGTTGATCAGCAGCACTTTAAGAGCGTAATTTGTGAAAGTACTAAAATACACTGCCTTTTCTGAATAAATAAAAACAAAACAAAAAAAAGGAACTTTACAAATCCTATTCCAGTGTCAATGACTACTATGGCTACGGTCATTGAGGAGTTTCTGCGTTTTCTAGCAAAGACAGTCTGTGCAAAGGCGGGTGGGAGAGCTCCCTTTTGTAAGTCTTTGGCGGCAGTTTGGGTAACTGAGGGCTCGAGTTGTGCCGAGGG